CCGTCTTTATCACTCTTGCGTTCATGATCACTCTCAGGCTTCTCTCTGCTATATTATAGCTCACAGCTTGAGAGCTTCTCAAAATGCTATAATAAAATATTTTTTCAGTACTTTCTGAGTTATTGCATTTGATATATATTGCAATTTGACATATATATAAAATGAAGTAAAATATATTTCATGAACTATTCATTTTTTTTTTAATAATTTAATTTTTAAATTACAATACACTTTATTATACACTTCTTAATACACTTTTATGCACAGACTAATAAGGTGAATCGAATGATGCAAAGAAAGCACATACACATGAATTATTATTCGCATATTCTAGTGACATTTGGTGACAACTTTGAAATTAGTTTTGAAATTATTGAATTATAATTCACAGTGATTTCGTATCAAAATGTAAATTACAATTCTATTAACTTTATTTCAATTGTATCAATTTTTCCTTGAATATGTGTCGTTGGTATGATAATTTTTTTATTCATATGAAGAAAAGTACATAAGAAAATACAGAAATAAAACGACCCCGATCGATCGCGAAAACTCTTAAAAGTATATTGCCTCTTAACTAGACATTACAAACACACGCATAAATTATTTGCCTTCTCTAGCATTATATATTTTTTAATTAAATATAAAATTCAGATAAGTTGCATAAATTTGTATCAAACTATATATATATGTTTATTTTGTATTATGAACAACTATCATGTAACGCTCACAAGGAAAAAACTACACAATTACAATATATCTTTACATTAAAATTACTTACGTAATCATACATCTATAATATTTAATCAATTATAAAATACAAAGAGAAAATATAAAATATATAAATATAAAATATTTTCACACAATATTATAACTTTTTTGTCCGCGATCATCGTTACGTATAACATAAATGATAATTATTAATAAAGTGATTCTCGGTTTGAGTCATCTTCAGTGAATACAAAGACAAAGATAAGATACTGTGTTCATCCGATGTGACGTTAAAATCGCTAACTAGAATTATTATGACCGCACATACAGTCATCCTTAAAGAAACCAGATAGTCTTCAAGGGCTATATGGTGTTCTGCTCGATGCGAATCGCGCCACACTTCGGCGCGTGCTTTTTTCAGTTTAATGTGAACTGTGTTCATCTGATAATTGACAATCCCTCGAAGACTGTCTATTTTATCTTTGTCTTTGTATTCACTGAAGATGACTCAAACTAGAGTCGAAACGTATATATTATATATTTAAGTTGTAATAAAGAATGTCAATTGCGCACTGTGAACAGCGCTGATTCTCCTTTGCCTATTTACATTCACGTTATAATAAAAATAATTGATTATAATGATTACAATGATAAATATATAAACTGTCAAAATGCACTATCTTCATAATAATAGCTGCGTTCAGCGGAACAAGCAATTAGTGGGCGATCAATGAGCGATCAGTGATCATGAGTCTTTATTATTATTAGATCCTTAAATTTAGATAAATTACGTTGATGAATTACTCAATCGTTGTGCAACCATTGTGTTCGCTAAACGCAATCACTGATAACTCCTTATGAAGTAAGCGTAATGAAAAAAAAGCAATTGGCGTTGCGGAAAAAGAACAACAATTAACTACGATATATATGACTATATTGATATATATCGACTCAACAAGTTCTTTTTAAAAGCGGATTTTATTGAATTATCATTTTAATTATCTCGTTTTTATTTATTATTATTAACCTATTTTTGTTTTTAGATTTTTATTAATTCTTTTTTACTAATTGAATTATTAATTATTAATTACTTAAATGAGTATAGTTGTGTTGACTATTGTCTGACTGTATAAATCGCATTATCCGAGAAATAAATATGTTAATGGTATCATATAATTTCAGTATTTTCATAGCTTTTATTACAAATGCTAAATTCTATGAAAATGTATTGATATCAAATTGACATACAAAAATTTGGCGCGCCAAGATTAAAATATCTATTAATGAACAATATAGATAAGTACATATATAAGAACATATTATAAATAAAATGTTAATGCTCGGCTCGCTGTATTGAATTATGACGTCGAGAAATGACGTGTAAAAAAATTTCTTGCGTCGTATAACTTTACTTTGTATAGCTTTTCCCTTAAAAACATGGTATATTCATATTCTTAAAACTTGTAAAAAATATGAGAAAGTAAGATATATCTCAAAATAAATCACGTAAAAGACTAAAATGATTCTTGAAATAAATCGGTCACTGTTCAGCTACTATTCAGAAACAACTAGATTTAGTCTGATCTGATGTGACGTGGTGATTTCTGGTAACTAAGCAGTGCACCATTATTTCAAGAATTATTAAATCACAATCAATACACGTACGTACATATATACATAAATACGTATAAATTACATATATAAAAATATAAAAATATATGTACATATATTATATATATATATACGTGTATATATTACAACGGAATCCGCCAATGCCCCCACGGTAACGTCTCCGTTGAGTTCGGCACGATGTATCGTTTGTCATCGTACGGACTCAGAACGATTTTCGACTCGGACACCGTGTATACTTGGTGTAGCTTGGATCTTATACACGACTGGCGACGAGTCATTTCGATCTCTTCATTCAAACACCGCATGTAATCGTCGAACGTTATCGTTCGCGCCACGACGTTGTCCTTGACGCCTTTCGCCTTTTTAATATCCTCTTTACCGTCCACCCTTATCGCGTACATCTTCGTTCCGAGTCCGACGAATTCCGTCATTATCGCACCGTTATTTTCGTCCTTCATTAGGCCGGGTACCTTTCTATTCGCGAGAGGCATCCCGTACGCGTTCTCCGTAGGATAATCGCCCGTGTCGAATTTACCGATATCGCGTTTCATCGTCTCGTACACGTCGTCGCACTCGATGTGGTATATGAGACTGCCCCCGTCGACGTACATGATCTTGCATTTGTCGCGATACACCGATGACATGTACTCGTGATGAAACTCGTACAAGCGCACTTTCGATATGTCGAGCATGCACATACCCACGTAAATCGGCTTGTTGAATTTCACCTCGAGTTTACGCAGTTCCACGGCGATTAAATTTTCCGCGTAGACGCTGCGGCTGTGAAAATTCGGTCTCGCGATCGTTGCCCCCGCGCCGGACCGTCCGTCCCATTTCGTCATCAGTCTCACGTCCACGTAATTCCGAACATTTTCAATCGTCTTGCCGAATATCGCGTTGCTCATCCATTCGTACAGATTTTTCTCGAAATCGTCTCTCGCGCACCTTCCAAGCTCTGCATTGCGCTCGACGTAGTCACGGAGCCAGGCGGATTGAGCAAATTGCAGTACACGATGTATCTTCGCGATACGAAGACCGTGACGCGTACATTGCTGCAGGTTCCGATAGTGGATGACGTACCGCCTCTTATCGCGTAGCGTCGTGAGAAGTTTATCCTGCCGCCGGGTGCCGGGTGGCTTGTCGCGCGTCGGACAGAAAGGTAGATCGGCGTGTTGGTCGTGCAAATGACGCGGATACTCGAGATCGACCTCGAGAATATAACCCGTGGGCGAATCCGGAGCGATCGCGCTCACGTCGAAGCTCGCGATGTCCTCGACCGCCCATCGAAATTCGGCGTAGGGCAACGGTTGACGCATCGCCCATCCGTACAGATCGTTCACGTCGTAGTGCATCAGGTACGACGACGGTTTCGACGGGTCGTATGAACGCATGTACCTGTTATTGGCCCGGGCGTACCTGCCGGAACACTGGCCGAGGCCGCCGCGTATACCGCGCTCGATAAACATAACCATGTCGACGTCGGTGAGCAATTCAAATTTCGCGCCCGTACATTTCAGCATGGCGTCCCAGGTGAAACCCGGCAATGTGTAGTAACGAGCGGGATCGAGGTTGTAGCTTTCGAGGCAGCTTTCGCGAAAATTTTCAAAAACGTCGGCCAACAACAAGACGTCGGTCTTCAAATACAGATCGCTATATTCGCCCAGGGTGCCAATGGAGAACCGCTGCCAGACGTTCACGGCGTGCGCGTAATCGTTCTCCGACACCGTGTCACCCGTCAACGAGCTGTAGAACGACTCGCGCGGTGGTAGGCGCGTCTCCCGCAGCTTGTCCGCGCGATCTACGTATTCGTAGGGGAAGACACCTTTACGCGTCAACAAGTCAAACTTCTCGTTCGATAAATTCGCGGAAAATTCGGAACGTGAAATCTTTAATTTGTCCCTCGTTAGAAAAGACGCCAACCTTTCGAGGCTGGTACTTAAAAATTTGTACGAATCGATGAACCGCAGTCGTACGTTTCGTGAATCTGACCTCCCGGCGGATCTATCCTCGACATGTTTAGTAAACGAAATGTATTTTTCTTTCGTTATCGACAGCACGTCGACTCTGCCCTCGAACGCCGTCGCTATTTCCTCGATGAGAAAGTGCGCGTCGTAACCGGATAAGTTGTGAAATACCACGGGGATGCAATGTGAATCTTTATAATTTAGCAATTTGCAATTTGAATGCGAGGGGCCACGGTAACGGCCGGTAAGGTGGCAGTGATCGCGTACCCGCGTATCGTCCGGCGCAAATGGTCTCTCACAGATGTGACAACGCGTCGCGTCACGGTGCGCCTCCCACTGTTCTTTCGACAACGCTTCCACAGGGACGGTCGCGGATAACAAAAGTTTTACTTGATGCGCCAAGTATTCGAGTTGCCGAACGAACCACGCGACGCAGTCTTCACCGCGGCGAAACCGATACACCGATAACGCGTCATCGTACGAGCACCGTACGTAGTATCCGACGCTAAATACCTCGTGCTGCTGATAGGCGTACGACGCGTCTTCCTTCTCTCCCGTCGACTCCGTCCGCCGTAGTACGCTCTCCAAGTCGGCGTATACGACGAAGGGAAGTCGTTCCTTATTCATGTGGTTCTTAAATTCGAGCCACTTGTCGCTTTCGCTCGGCAATCGGATGGCGTAGTCGTTCATCTGTTCGCAGTCCATTGTGTGCGACTGCAATTTTTTAGACGAACTAAAAAAGCGTAGACATCTGTAAAAAAAAAAAAACGTAACATTTTTTTTTTTTTTTTTAGTATTTTAATAAACAATTGTAAAATGTTATACAATTGCGTTATACGTACCGCTCGCAAAGGTGTTTCTTGCGTCCGTATTTTTTCAGTTGCGAGCTCACGAGCCCGGGCAGGTCTTTGACGCACGCGAAGTGGCCCGCGTTGTCATCGCGCGGATCCTGCACGTATAGTAAATTTACGTGTTTCTCCATCTTCTTATTTGTCAGTAGTATCGGGAGAATCTTCTTTCCCTCGGTACCGTAGACGTTGACGGAGATGTCGTTCAGATGTTCAAATTTTTAATTTGATTCAACGTCACTGGAAACGTAATGTCTTGGAGATTCAAGACCGACGTGTAATGTGGGTACGAGGATTCCCGATCTGTATGTCCTTCGGTCGGATGCAAGGCCGCGACCACCGACCACGCGAAACACGCATTGTCCATGGATCGTACGTTGATCACCGCTCTCTTCAACATAATTTCCCGGGGCACTTCGAAATTACATCTCGCGTGTGAAGGAATATATTTGTTCACGTTTAAAGTCAAATTGAGAATTCGCGAGAGCGCCCAGCCACCGTCGCGAGCTTCTTCTTCGAGCGATGCCAACGTGGGTTCGACGACCTGCCGCTCGTACCACTCGTGCACATTTGACACGCGAAAGAGTTCAATATTTTCAGTGTTTATGCTCTTATTGGCGCGTTTGGCACCCGTCACAAACTCGCCGTTGAACGCGGTGTTCACTTTCACACTACCGTGTTTTTTTACAGCATCTCGCACTCGCTCGAGCACTGTACCACCAGCGTCTTCCAAAAATCGTCGCGGCTCGATGTGGTCCAGGTTAACACAGTCCACCGCACCAGTCAATACACGGCTTTCAAACGCCGTATCAATATCTCGCCAAACGAAAGAGCTGTTGTCTCTACTGGTGCTCGCGTACTCGCCATCGGCGTACACGAAACGTTTTTTTAATTGAATTTTTGCACTCGCGAGTCGCTCGACTCTCGCTACCACAGATTGTCTACTTCCAACAGTGACTCGGGGACACTGAACGCGAGAAGGACCAAGTTCCTCGAGCTGTTTGATGCATTCGTCGCATCGTTGCAGCCACGCGAAATACTCCACCAAAGTAGCGACCTGGCTGCACTGTTCCAGCAGCTCGCGTTCCACTAGCTCGAGGTGTTCCATTTTTTTCTCTCTCACATTCGATTGATTCATTCAGGCTTCCAAGGCTGCTGTGATCCCGCTCAGTGTTCGGTGATCTACTATATATCATCTGCAGTTTTCTTTGTCCCTTTATCTAAACCGCAGCATCGTCATACGTTTGCTCATACATTTGTTCATAACAAGATTATTAGCGGATTATCAGCGGATTATCAGCAATACATATTATCTTAACACTTCTCGCAACACGTACAGTCATCAATGCTATTTTTTTGTCTAAATCGCAGCATCATCATAGGTCTTCCGAATTGCAATTTGTTGGGTTAGAATAGTCTAGTATACCTACTTTCACAGTTAAAGGATTACAACTAAAATATCTTTTAATCTGTTTCAAGATCTATCATCAATTTAAATATCAATTTAAGATCGTTTTATTCATTTTCTAATAAATGTTATAATAAATGTTCAAAATGCTTATTTACTTATTTAAACATTTATCAATCCTCTTTCTCTAATATTTTTTTGAACATTAATCAACACTTGTGAGATTATATTACGACAAATATCGCGAATTCTTTCTTTCATATTTTTTTCTCTATGCAGATATAGATATATAACTGTTTATCTTTAAAAAAAACTCCACACAACAAGAAAATCTAATGTGGTGTAAGCACAAGCAAGCATGGAGCACTATTTTGTTTTTATTTTAACATAAAATGTAAAACATTTCATAAACTTATTTTTTATAACTATAATATTATTTATGTTTCAACAGCAAGATTTGATTATCATCGAAAATAAGAAGATCGTTCTTTAACGACGAAATGTATTATTGATTAATTTTGAATCAAGTCATGTTGCGTTTCCCAACCAAAAGCTGAATTGTCGAATACATGATTTTTTTTTTTTTTTTCCCTAAACGAAGAGAACAATTTTTTTTTTCTGTGTGGCATAGAATGCATCTACGAGCGAGATGGGTATGAGAGCGGGAAACTTCGCTAGGCATACAATAATATTTTTACGCATAGAAGAATGAAATTAATAGGTGTAAAGAAAACACATACTTGTTTTTAAAAAAATTATGCACTTTGCAACATTTCATTATTGTAAATGATGAAGAACCATATGCAATGGAGATTTTGATATTAAAACTATTTAAAGCTTATAACAACCTAACGATTCTCTATTCATTGATAAGATATATCATATTTTTCACAACGATGACCGGTGAGTTGTATCATCACTCTCTCGGCCATCTAATTGCAAATGTTTTAAGCGAGGTTGGTTGTGATTGCTACTTGGATGGGCTGATCGGATAAAAAGATAACGCATGATGTCACAGATAAATTATACTTACGCTCTTTTCTTATGTATAAAATTCAAAGAGATTGTTTTTGTTCAATATTTTAAACTTTAAATAGGAACTTAGATATATATATATATATATATATATATATATATATATATGTTGTATACACTAAATTCTGATCGCATTTAAGCTAAGGTCCAAGGTTCATGTCCAAAGTCCAAGATCCAAAGTTTATGTTCACAGCGCTCGTAGATGCGTCATTTAATAACTCTATTAACAATGAGGATGAAATAATTTAATGAGTGCAGTGAACATGAATGACGGATCTTAAAACCTTAATAGAAGAATGATTTTCTGCTTCTCTATAGAATTACGCTTTCAGAAAGCTTAAAGAAATGATCTATTTAAGCAAGGAAAGCTTCCAATAATTGCAGAACATCACTACGTTGTATTGAACGTGGGCAATACAAACATTGCTTTAAAATGATTTAAAACAATTATACGATTTATGTTATTCTATTCTATAAGTAGATGACCGGGAAAATCGGTCAAGTATATTAAATAGTAAGTAACATTGAGAATGTCAAGAGATTCATATAAACTAACTGTAGACGATACAGATCTTAGAATTAATAAGAAGTTAATGACGAATTGAATAAGCAACGCACAGAGATTTTAATAAAGCATTGCAGCTCGGAAATCGAGTCTCTGGAAAAAGAGACACAAATAGTAAATGGAACATTCATTATTCTACCTAAGTTGAAACCTATTCAACACGATTAGAATATTTGTCACAAAACGAAACGGACATTGCGATATGGCATTTTCCCGTCGAGCTTGAGAGCTACGATAGAAGTATTCCGTCCGCGGACGAAAAAGAAATGAAAAAACTAAACGTAGAAATTAACATTGATAATCCATGCGTAAATCCAGTGTCCCCATGTGGGATACAAAATTTCAGGACGAGCAAATGTTGGGCATAAAATATATGCGGGCATATATACTAATAAACAAGGAGGAAAATAAATATCTTTCTCATCGGAAAGATAATATAGATGCTAACAAGAACGATACGATGGTATAAAGCAACACGCAATTCTCATTACTAGGATTTTTTCCGATAAAACATAACTTGGTTCTTGAACGGACTGACTCTGATGTAGATAGCTCAAGAAATTAGGGGAAAAAGTTGTGTAACAGAGAATTACTAATGGATAATTATTAATTAATTAAAGATATTAATTTTTGTACTTATTGTTACGTCATCCAGATTTAAATCATTTACGTCATTTACTACGGTATTGTCATCTTTAGGTTTGTCCTTTATCGCTTAAAGAAAGAGGAAAAGGCCTGTTTTTGCTGTGCTTGAAAAACATTATATATTTTTTTCTATCAAATGTAGTGTTTTCACATAATATTCTATATATTTTACATCAAAAGGCGATGTATTTGTATGTGTAATGACCTTTTTTAAGTATAGAAAAAGCAAGCTTCTTTTAAAATTTTTCTTTTAGCGATAAGAGATATATCTAAGGATGATAACAAGTGCAATGATTGATTGACATAAACTTTAATAACAGAACAATAAATACAAAAATTAATATCTTTGCAGTATTTATCCGTTAATAATTTTCCGTTACAAAATTTCTTCTCTTAATTCTTGATTTATTCTAATCAGTGTCAAGTTCGATTCAAAATCAAATCTGGTTTTATCCCTTTGATTAAATTCAAAAGAGAAAGAATGATAGGAATATTTTACTGGAATACTGTAATATTGTATTGTTCTTGCTTTATAGAATTTATATTATCTAAGCGGCGATGTCGAAGATTTTTATTTCCTTCCTTGTTTATTAAAACATAATCGTATAATTTATATTTAATATCCTTCGATCTTAAATCTTATACTTACATGGGAATTTTATGGATTATGTTTAGCCAGTGTGATACAAGGATTATTAATATTAATCTCCACAATTAATCTCATTCTGTTTTATCTGAGATAGTTTTTCGTAACTTCGACCTGCTGTTCCTCGGCATTCTTGATTGCTTCTTACTTATATATACATATATATTGTATATCAGAATATTTTAATAGAATTAATTCTACATTTATATACATTTATATACGTATACGCTTTGTAGCCAAAGATTTTTTTCTTAAAATAAAAAAATATAAGAGAACAATTATTCTATCGCTTGTATCCATAAAGCGTACACCAATTTTCGCTGTGAGAATTATAGGTCTTTCGTCGAAGGACAACGGAATTGATGAATACGAGAATGAAGTTTGAATTTATATTTTGGTAGAAGACTTACAAGTCCAATTTTTGTTTGTATATAGCCAAATCGTAAACCTGGAAATTAATAATTCCAATCTGTAATATTTGCAAAACATTTACGTAAGAAGGAGAGTAAATTGAAAACCTTTAAAAAATTATACCTTTTAAAGAATTGAATTCTATTCAAATTAATCTATAAGCCTGTTCTGTTCAGCTGAATTTTTTGTCCACCTTTTCTCTTCCTTTCTCTAATGTAGAAGAAAAAAGAAAAGAAAGAACCCTATAAGAAATTCAAAGAAGTTCTAAAAAGAACAAGCCTATATATCAATTTTAATCGAGGTTCAATTTATTCTTTATAACTTCTAAGATTTAAAAAAAAGTTAGCAGTATAACATTCATTCCTTCGATTTTCCTATAATTTCGCAAAATCCTGTAATTTCGCTTTTCTTTGACTTTCAATTTTGATGTAGGTAAGTTAGAAAATGATAATTTAAAGCTGCATATTTACCATATTCTCTGCTTTAATTAATTAAAAACATAAATTATTTTCTTATATAATTTAAATTGTAACAGAGAATTAGTTTGTGATTCAAAATTTATACTTCTTTTTATTCTTTCTGTGTAGATTGAAATTTAAATATTAAAAAACTTTGAAATTAAAATTTGAATTTAAATGATTTTTCTTTACGGAATATATTCTACATGAAAATACACAAATTTACAAATTATTTAATTTACAAAATTACAGGAAAATCGGATGAGACAACGTTATATTGCACATTTATCGAAAAAAAAGGAGTAAATTAAATTGAAATTATAAAATTTACAACGACAAGTGGACATAAGATATTTTATAAAATATTTTTTCATCTAGACTCATTGTTGGAAAAAGCTTTCGAAAGTTTCAAAATCATTTCAAATAAATCAAATCCTTCAAAATCATGATTCGTATATTTACATTACAAGAGTAAATGTTTAGGTTCCATCCTTCCTTCAATATCAAATTTTTTTATACAAGAACCTTTTTATATAATTAATAAATATTATAGTAAAGTATATTAACTTTTTTAATTTTAATACTTTTTAAAATTGTGATAAAATATTTGATAAATTGAGATACCCTGTTGAGATGCCCTGGGTTAAAAAAGATATTTTTCTTTATTGATATAAATATCACTAAAAATTCGTAAGAATTCCATATAGTACATTTTATCCGAGGAAAGTCTTGGAAGCATTCTTAAGACTTAAGTTTTCTTATTCGTGGAATGTTCTGTGGAATATCCCACGGTATTTAGAATATCCCTTGGAGATTTGTGCTGGGACTATGGGATATTACTTGTTAATTTCAAAGAATTTTAGTAATCTGTAATCTATAAAATTTAATATTATTGGTATATATATATATATATATATATATATATAATTTTTTTTTAATTATGTACTTATAACTAGAGAAAAACAGACAATGAATATGGAAGTAATTAATTTATTACTATTACAAGATTATACAAGTGCGCAAACGTTTTAGAAATACCATACAAGTACCGCAAAGATCCAGATTAGATTTAATCTACATATAACCCTCTAATAAAGCTAGCATGTTTCACTGAAGTTGAGCTCTTTTAGCTAATATTACACTTATCGCGATGTAAAATCAATCCAGTTCATACTATCTAATTTCAGTACAAGCACATATGAAACTTAGACACCGAAATGGATGCACACGTCTTAGCATAATTAAAAATAATTACTAAGCGCTATTCGATAAAATTTGATCGATTAAATCAATTTCATCATAGTATACAAACAATTTGCATCAATAAGAAAGCACAAATATTATAATATTATGATGTTACAAACGCACATTTCAATCGTAGCTATAATGTTTTATACATGACACAGGGATTGTTTTCATATTGTTCTCAATGGGTTTAATTATGCAAAAAAGAATTTTTTACAATAAAATTCTATATTAATATTAAATGATTTCTTCCAAGAATCTTGAAAATAATTAAATTTTTTATTCCGTATGTAACAAGAGCAAAAATCACTTTGATTGCGTTGCGATCAAAGATGTTCTGATTGTATGTCTTTTTTGCATAATTACAATATCAAGTATTTCTTATTGAACATCTATTTCTTTTATCTTTTAATAACAATCACGATTCCACGCAAAGAATCATTACGGCATTTGTATACTAGTTATTACATTACTACGATACGCTTATTGATTACGATTTATATAAATAATTTATACAATCTCAAAGACTCTCAAATATCTGTTAAAGTATTTAATTACTTTATACAGTTTCATCTAATGTAATAATAAATATTATTTTTAACGTTAATCAATGTAAATTTTTATAGAAAATTAATTGGAATATTTCCCCATTGTTTAATTTTTTTAGTAAATCAATATATTACTGAGTAACAGCAAATATATCAATATGTGCATATATGCTATTATTTGAGAAACCTTGGGATATCAATATCTTAAGAGAACCAATATCTTAAGAGAATAAAAATACATAATTTACGATGGAATGAATATAAAAATCATCCTTAGCGCTTAATGTAGTTTTTAATTTAAATTGCATACACAGTGAGTTAATTGCATAATCATGAAAAGCTTAAATGTTTTGAAAGCTTTTTTCGAAACGCTTCTCTAGTAATTCACAAAAAGAGATTTAAAAAAAGCATGGAAAAGATGCTTTAAAAAAGAATTATATCAATAATCCGAGTACGATATAGATCCAAGTTATTATTTTCATATCGGACGTTTAAGATTTCCATAATTTTGCGCGGCTCACAAATATTAAAATATAACAAATATGGCACCGTACATTTTATAATTTATTTTATGTATTACTCTTTATATATGTACATATATAATGTATAATATATAAAGAAAAAAATAAACTAAAAGTATAACTTTGTAGACACAAAGATTTTCAACAGATTGTAAATATAAAACATATTAATACATGGTGTATCAAAAACATAGAGAGATATAATTTTTGAAAAATTATACCATTTATTAGAAATAATTTGTATCGCTCGAGAATCGGCATGATAATTTTTCTGCGACACAAGTTTTCTTCTTTTACTTATCTTTTGATAACTAATTTTTCCCTTTTACATTTTAAAAAAATCCTTAACCGCAAATACAAATTTAATGCGTAAAATCAATAATCGTATGAATTCTAACGACATTGACGCGTCAGAAAAGCATCTCACCGGCTCTATGTATACTGCATGTGTATACTGCAAATGAAATTAACGAGTCCTAAATAGCGTTCCAAACTCTATTGATTTGGAAATGTATACCAATCAATATGTATTCTTTTCTAGGACTTAAAAACGACCTATTCAACGAGCATATTCACAACTCGCGCAACTTAGAAGTAAACCTTTCATTAATTTTACAATTGTAGAAATAAATAATCGTAGAGTATATATATATATATATATATATTTACTAGGTATATATTTACAGACTAATGTTGATCGCCGCCGATAGTATCAGATATAATTCGATAATATTAACAATTCGCTCGCGAAAGGAAAAATTTAGAATTAGGGAAAAAGATCTAAAGGAAGGAAAGAGATAATTCTGGATTTTTGTTGAATAGCTTCTACTGCAGCTATACATGAATTTCAAGACACATAGTTTGTACAATCTTATTCGGCTATTCCAAAATGCATTCGTTCTTTCGATGTAGCGTATTTATAATAATTCAGAGGTAATTCGGTACTTCAACATTACAAACCACTATTTATGACTTATATTACAATAAATCGTGTGTGTCATAAAATAACATTCAATAATGATATATATACACAAACTATTTCAACTCCACCTCATTTCATAAATAGTTTTTATGAAATAGCGGTTTACAAATAGTTTTTAAAAATGGTCAACTATTTAACAACATATTTGTATTTTATATCTTCGAAATATCGAGATATATATATTTTTTAAGTTTATCTAAAAACCTGCTATACGCGACCGTTTTTAAATAATTGTATGTAAATAATTGTATGTAAAGATAATATGTATAAATATACCCGTAGAACAAAACAAACTTTATCTTATGAATTATTTTAAAAAAGTTATTTCAGTTATATTTTGTTCAGTTATATTATTAATCATCTTCGCATCGATAAAAAAAATCTGCATCTAAATTTGAATTTTTTTTTTCACAATTTTATAAGAATTAAAAATAAGCAATTTATATTAATTTTAAATTTCTTTGAATGCAAAAATAGAAAAAAAAACACGAAATAAAAAATAAACAACACAATGCTTCATCGAAAGAAAATTGTACGAGAAAATGCAATTTAGAATGTGACACAAGTAAGAGTGATCTAAATAATGCTTAAATGTATCTTTTACGTACGGTATTTTATTTTCATTTTCCTTATATCTTCTCTAAACAAATATATTTAAAGCTATTATTAGAAACACAATATGCTTCAATATGCGTAACAAAATAACGAAAATGGTTTTTTATATTATGTAATCATATCCGTCCCTGACTTTTAGACTCTTATCGTTTTGTTCAATTAGATTCGCTGTCGGAGTAAAAGCTATTATTAAACAGTAGAACAGAACCAAACCATTATCTTCTCATAATGCCATAATAAATAATCGGTATGTTGAAATATCTTATCTCATAGTCTCAAGTTTCTTCATTTAGAAACTGCAAATTCAATTCTATGTGCCCGATGACAATTTATTGTCTCGTAGCGCGTGTCTCCTAAATATATTATTGAAACTGATAATTTTGTCAATTTTAAATGTTGAATGAATGTTTCAACTGCTGATAAGTTGCGCGGCAAAATAACGTGAGTTAGCTCATTGGCGGGAAAAAAATCCCTCGTGATCCGCGCATTCTGTTGAATTTCAGAAAACTGGGAATCACGGAAACGTTCACGAGACCGATGACTGCGAGGCGTGGCATCTGTTCACGGTATCAATTGATATGATGACGATCGATAACGTACGCGCGGTGACGGTGACGGTGATGGCGACGGCGACGGCGACGGCGGCGAGGACGACGTCGTCTATGCCGGCGGCGAATCAGACCTGTCCGCCCATGTCCGCCTGGTACCGCAATGTCAGATATTCGGCCGCCTCCGTCATGCGGGCGATGCTGCGGTGGAGGCCGCGCAGATGACGTTTAAAGTTCTCGGCGGCGATGGTCGCCAGGTCGAGCCCGCATTCCTCGACCTCCAGGCCGCTGTCGATCTCGATGCCGTTCTCGGAATCGGAGTCGGAGGTCGAGGCGATCGAGGACGCGCTCTGCACACTCTGCATCGACGTGGTGCTGGGGCAACGCACGTGGCCGAGTCTGACGCCGGTGACAGCCGCCGGATGATGGTGCGGCGCCAGCTCGGCGGACGGGCTGCCGACCGGATGGCTCTTGATCGGCATCTGATCGGCGTCCGCCGTGATGCCTCGCGTGGGCTCCTGCGACCACAGCAGCTCGATCTTCATCTGATTGATGATGTTGTAAAGACGGTAGAGGTCGGTGTTGGCCAGGGTGTCCTTCACCGTGCAGCCGCGCTTGCCCCTCATGCAGATCGTGTCGCCCGCGTCGCCCACGGACAGATCCAGCAAGCGGCTCGGCACCAGGATCGTGTCCTCCATCTCGCTCACGGTGCGTACGAACTTCTCCATGCTGTTCAGGATACTGGCGTTGCTGAACTCCGGCTCATCGTGCCGAGCGATCCTGCGCAGATTTCTGCAATGAAAATTACTTGCCGTTAGCAATCGGTCAGCTAATCTGAGACACGATTCAGAGGTGGACAGGTTTCATATTTCGAAAAATTACACTTTAACCTGTAATAACGCGAAAGAAGAAAACAAGAAGAAGTACGTATTTACGTGTGACGTATTTAAATATGTCTGTAAGAAATAATAGATGTAATTCATCATTAATATTTATTATTATTTATTTATTCTTTGACCGATTACTTTAACTCTATCTTAAAGGAGTTTACTTTCTAAAGAAATGTAGTTTTACAAAATATAATTCTCTTAAAAAGCAAAATCAGCCATTAATATCTCCATTCAAATCGCAAACCTATCTTACCAAGATTTTAAGTATGATACCGTGAGGCCGTTTAAAGTTTTTATGTTTCCTCGGAAAGTTACGGTATATTCGTTAACGGGATTGGCATTGAGCCTAACATTAAGATTAACTGAATATATAGAAATATATAGATATTCTACGCGGTACAGACAAACCGACAAGATAGAGTGATCTTTGCTCGGCGACTGAAGATACATCTATCTTCAACAGCAGTCAAAACATTACAAAAGATTACTTGAGTAAGCATCTTGCTTCAGCATTTTGCTGCGGAAAAGAAGAGACGAGGATTTCTCAAACGTCTAATTTGTATGCATGCGCTTGACAATGGTGGCGTAATAAACAAATATGATGTAACGTCATCAAGCACGTAGTGTCGCATGAGCGTGACGATTTAGAAGTGTCCGGCGATGTCCTCGTTTTGAATTTCATATAGCTTCGAAAAATAATCAATATTGTCTATATTAATTTCAAAATATCATTATTGACTATATTAATTTAAATAATATCCAAATATTATTAATGATATCTATGGCAATTAACGATATCTATGGCAATATCTAAAAATAATATATATATATATATATATAGATAATTGGGAAATTGTTGAATATAAATAGCTGCTTTTAATGACTATAAAATGAAATAAATTATACCAATATATATTTATAAAAGATACATCATTTTTATTAATTTATATAATATAAAATCTATGTATACATAAACTTGTAAAGATAAATATTATAAAAAGTCAATAGTTCAATTGTTCACATTCTAAATTCGTCCGAATTTACAGATCGTAGATATTTGATTTTCTGAAAATCTCAGAATTAAAGGATAATTACTTTATTTTCAAATTAGAAGGATTCGATATTCATTATAAAAACAATGAATAAATAATAAAATCTTACTTTTGAGGCTTTTTGACAAGCTTTCATCCTTAATTAAATATAATTCAATATTAAATAATTTATTAAAAACAAAAGATTATTAGGCGCCTAAGATCCTGTCTACCGAGTATTATTCGAGTATTCCTTCCTTTCTAATGTTTAAACGTACTTGACTTATACATTGTTTAAATTATACATGTTTATGTTGAATCGTATATTATTTGTTGGTTAATGAAATAAGAAATTTTTAATATACTTTACAGGTCTGTTTTATCGATTACACAAATTTAAATTATTTTATTGAAAAATTTTCCTTCTTTAATATGTATGTTTCTATTATGTTTTTTTCTCGTTTCTGACGTTATCACTCAAAATGACTGAAGTGAATTAATTTAATTTCTTAATTCACTTAATTCAGTTTCTTAATAAATAGAAACTTAAGTTTATAAGTTAAAAGTATTGATATTTAACGAAAAAAATGTTCGAAATTTTTTTTTATCACATTAACATATGTCGTTCAAAAAAATCAATCTGCAAGACACGATGCCTCCAAATAATGTACAATGTATAATTAATATACGAATCTTTTTGACTATGTCAAATCAATAATAAAAAATATCAACTAAAAAAATTCATGTTCATAACCAGTTAAAATATTGATATAAATTATTATAAGATTATTTTATATTGAAGCGCAAATAATTTTATTCGTGTATAATTGATTATGCATAAATAAATATATAGGGATAAAGGTTGAATTTATATAACTATTTATGATAATGATGGCAAAAAGATAAAATTAATCATAATAATATTCGCAATTAAACAATTTTTTTTATTTTTTGGAAAAATAACAATTTTTTCATTTATGGTAAATTCTTTTTTACTTCATAATGTAATGGAACATTTCGATAATAATATATCGAATAACGATCATAACATATGATTAGCATTTTTAATTATTTAGATGAAAAATAAGATGTTTCCAATAATCGTGATATAATGGAGATGATTTTTTTTGAAAAAAATCAAAATTGTATAATTTTTGCATATAAGATTTTACTTTCAAGAAAAATGATAAATAATAAAATAATTTTATTAAAATTAAATATGCATGTACTAATGTAAGTCTCGGTTATCAAGTCTCAATAGATTGCTATTCATAATTTCTATCATTTCCATTATCTTCTGTCGATTTTTATTATCAGTTCCCTTTCATTTTATATTCAATTTAGACGATTTTGTAATGAAGATATTATAATTACTTTTTAAGAATCAATTTATCATTTTATTAATAGAAATTATTCAAAATATTGCTTATATTACTGCTTATATTACTTAAATGATAGACATATCATTATAATTACTAGCCTATATCAAGATCCATTAAATTAAGACTTACAATTGCAATGCATATCGAACAAAATTTCAAAAATAAAATTTCATATTCTAAAACTATATTCTGCAATTTTTATTTAATTTTTCATAAGAAATCTCACTTTTACTGTACTATGATTACATCTTACACATCGCTCTAAAAATTCTGTTATCTATCTCGGTTTTTATTTCTTGGTTTTTCTTCATTCAATTTGGACAAATTTCGTAAATGAAGATATAAGAATTAAGAATTATTTTTTAAGTATCACTTTATTGATATAAAAACCATTCAAAATTGGTAAAATACAAAGCGTAAATATTTTAATCTAAACTCGATTTATCAGTGAATACTTGTTTAAGAGAGATGATTTTATTTACAAAAACATTAAAAAAAAATCTTTCCCTCGATCTAAAAGTATAAGTATATAACGAAAATGTTATCTTTTTAAGTTAATTAAATGCACATACAATCTTAATTGTTTTCTGATCATCAAAGAATATCCATTTTATCGAAGATAAATATCTCTCGATCTTGTATCGAATAAAAAATTAAAGAAACTTTTAAATAAGTTCATTAACTCATTTAATGTTCTCGTAAATTTTCTCATAAACAACAGATGAACATTGTTTCACCTTATCGTTTCGTAGAGCTCGTTTTTTCACACTAAAAAAAAGAGCAAAAAGAAAAAGGGAGATCAATCAACGTTCCTCCGTTTCGTTAGTTTAGCAAAAATTTTCCGTCGTTATTAATTAAATTGCGACCTTTATTAATTGAATTGCGACGAAGTTCATCCCGATAGACATTCGACGATTACGCATTAACTACCGATCGCTCAAATTCGCAATAAAGTCCAACTGCCTTGCCTGCTATGCATGAATATTCAATCATCGGCCTCCCGGCCGAATTCATGAAATCGCTTTGTTATGTTAATCGCCAATACTTGCGCAGCGAATACGTGAACAAAATGGAAATTTACTACAGATACATTTGGCCGGGCAAATTGTAAAAAAAAAACTGCGCGTCGCACAAAGGTTGTATTATACACCCCTCGATTCGCTATTCCTGGTGCTCTTGTCGGGGAAACAGAAAAAAAATTAACTTACCGTAACTTCGCGATTTGATTATCGGGTCAGAAAAGTGCGATGTACAAATGAATTCGCGATCGCGAATTGCAAATTGTTTTTTTTTTTTTTTTTGCGGGACAATCGCGCGGGGGACAATCGACGGCGGCTTTATCTTTCTCGAATATTCTTCCGCGAAAATTCAACAACACGTCGTTACGATGTCGCGCATTGTTACGCGTAATGCGCTTTATTTATAAATGCAACGGCGTTAGGCTTGCGATACCGCGATAGGGTGTACACCCTTGCCTTTAACGCCCTTTAAAAAGGGACGAGGAGCTCGTATCGGAGAAAAGAAAACAGCGCATCGTTCTAGCGTTACGTATCGATCCTCATCTGATTAAGGACAGCGAAATTAAGCGAGGTGTCTCAGGTGACGCGCTAAAAATAATCGCCGTTCCACTTATAACTATAGGCCTACTCCGTCCCACTCGCAAACAAGACTCGGTCCATCCGAAAATCGACTATCTCCCTCGCGCCGACGTGAACGGAGAAATCGGAGCACATTCGTTACTTATCGAGAGAGAGCACGTTGCTCGTCGTTTAATCATCGAAACTAGGAATCGAGGATTCCGGTTACATTTCTCCATCTCGGATAATATGATGGAACGATTAGCTTACTTTTTTTTTTTTTTTTTTTATAAAAATCATGTCAATTGACCAGAAATTATAATCAGATTCGCCGTTTGAAGTAGGACTAGCGAAATAGTTTAAGAAATAGTTTCAATCTCATTCCAAATTTTTAGAGAATTTTATCTACTTAATTAGAAATTTGTCTTAGTAATATATTTTTGAGATTTATATAACAGATCGTGTTATGAGATAAGTGTGTTACGATATGATAATGTTCTTGAATTCTTAATTAGATTTTATCAGTCGGTTGTAAATAAAAAAGTGGTAAACAAATTAAAAATACGTAAATAGCAATTTAGAAAGACAACCTGAAATTGCCAAAGAAGATGCAAAATATTTCAATATATTCAGCAAGTAATAAATAACATGACATTTAATAACGTGACATTTCTTCTGTCATTAGTAATTTATTTGTAAAATAATTCCTGCCATATTCTAAATAATGCGGAAAATTTTATTTAGCTTTTAACTTAAATTATATCATTTTTTTTTAAA